AGCTTAAATTATTTTCATGTTAGTTCATAGCCACTAGATTGCAGCTGCAAAACAGTTTTTTTTTCATATCCAGTTTGAGCTTCTCAGAGGTGTGTGTTATTTTGGTAGGAAATATAAATTGAAAAACATCTGCTCCACTTTTTAGTTAAAAGACGTCAAGGTTTCAACAAGTACAAGGTTTTGTTCACTTTTTATTGCTGTAGCATAAATTATACATACGATATAATGTATATGACCATAGATTCATCAAATGAGATCAGTAATAATAATAAAAGTGCATCACACCACCTCTTAACCTAACCAACAACAATTTGCTCAGCATATGGATGTAGAAGTAATGGACTAATCGAGATCATTCGATTAGTCCCGAACATAAAACATCCCAACTAAAACTCTGGCATTTTAAGGCAACTTCCATTGTTGAGCAAACAATATTCAACAATCTTCTGCAAATTTGGCCCAATAAGTTACATTGCTTGCTCTATCAGAATATCAAACTATTGGCTTGTAAGTCATGTAGACCTCTTTAGGCAGCACCTTTTCTTATGTTTCAGTAAATTTGGTAAATTGGTGAAACCCCTCTTGCATGAAGAGCACCGGTACGGCCTTTCTCCAGTATGAACTCTCTCGTGCGTTTTCAGAGATGATAAATGAGCGAAACTCTTGTCACAGTGTGAGCACTTGTAAGGTTTCTCTCCAGTGTGAATCCTCTGGTGTATTTTTAAGTCGCTGGATGTAGTAAAGGTCTTCCCGCAGTCAAAGCACATATGAGGTTTCACTCCAGTATGAATACTCTGGTGAACTTGTAGAGTTTGCATCAGTGCAAAACTCTTTCCACAAGAAGTACAAACATGAGGTTTCACAGCAGCATGAACTTTCATGTGTCTCTTTAGGTACACCTCCAAAACGAATGTCTTATCGCACTGATCACAGCCAAACGATCGTTCTCCGGAGTGAGAGAGCAGATGATTTTTGAGAATATTTGCTCTCACGAAGCTCTTTCCACACTGATGGCACGTGAAGGGTTTCTCTCCGGTATGGATGCTCATGTGTTTCTTCAGGTCTGATTTTCGCATGGAGCCCTTTCCACACAGAGAGCAAGTGAAGGGACGTTTCTCTCCTCTTTTTTGAGTGCTTTGTTGTTTGTGGAGATGAGGAGGTTTCTCCTCAGCTTCACATTGTTCTAAAATAAACACATTAGACACTTAACAGCAGAAAGCAATCATCCTCAAGTATTTAATTTCTGGTTAGGCTACCTATCAGGTGTTAAACATAACTTAAGTCCTTATAAATCAACTAAGTAGGCAACTATGATCACAGATGCATTTCTATGATTTTGCACTTATATAAAGGTGTGATCTTAGCGGTTATTAATGAGAAATCAAAAATGGTCACCTACCACTTTGTTCCTCAGTGTCGTCATTTTGTATTTTGCAGGGCTCTGGATCAGCCATCTTCAGTTGTAGGTCGTGTTGTTTCCCCTGAAGTAGTTTTTTCTTGTTGGGTGTGGGAGGAGTGGGAATTTTCTACAGCATTTTAAATGGTGAGTATGTGTAGGCAGGGCTTCACTGAAGGTGTTAATGAAGATTGATGTGTAATTTAACTAGATGAGCCAACCTAACCCTAACCCTATCACTAAACATTACTCCACCTATTAGGTCCACAGAGGTGGAGCTAGACTAAGTCAAGCTCCACCTATTACTCCCAGAGAGAGAGAGAGAGGGGGTGCTGCATGTCATTTGGCTCTGCAGTGAGCACTACAATGCTGTTGAAATGAAAACAAACTATAGTCAACTATATGAACATAGATGTACTGGTGTTAGATATTCAATATGAAGCAGAAACTCTTCTCACACTCAAAGCACAGATGAGCTCTCACAGCGGCGTGCATCTTCTGGTGCTCCTTTAAATGGAAAAACCTCTTTCCACAGAACGAACACAAGCAGGGCTTCCTATCAGAATGGATTTTTGAGACTTTTGAGGACGTATGAGCTCGGGAAGCTCTTTCCACACTGAGGACATGCATACGGACGCTCTCCGTATGTTTTAACCTGAAACCTATCTATCTATCTATCTATCTATCTATCTATCTATCTATCTATCTATCTATGTCTTGATTAACATTTTCTAGTTTTTGTTATATTTTTATGTGTTAAGCATTATTATTATTATTATTATTTAGATGTATTATGTCAGTTTATTTTTATTTTTTTAGCTCTTGCCTTATATTATTGGTTATTTAACAGCTCTTCTAATGTTTCAGACCTGAATGTTCATCAGTCTTCAGTAAGGAATCGAGACAGACACACACCTGGATCACCTTCACTCCTTCACTCCTTCACTTCTTTCCATTTACAGCTGCTGTTCAGCATTACTCTTCTTCTGCTCTGATTTCTAATGTAATGATGGTGTATTTCTGCCATCTAATGGGCTGAAATGTGAAGTGGCCTTTCATTTGTATTTCATGGCAGTAACTGCAATTATTATTTTATTAACATTACTGGCACCTCATTTTTATCGCAGCTCCCCTCTTTCATACCATTTTTAGAATGTGTATTGATGATATGACAATATTACATTTAAGTCACTTTTTATTTTAGAATGTAATAGATAACATCATTGAGCCATACATGTTTAAAATAAATGTGTTTATACAAATATATCTCGCACAGCTTTCGATTGTGGACATTACACCTGTATGGATGCGTTACAGTACACCTATGGAAGCATATACACCTGTAGTGAACATGAAAAATTCGCATCTTTATCTGATGCAGGTGCCCCTTTTAACCACGAGAGGGCGGCAGCGGATCGAGGTTATTTATCATTTATTTTTTCATGACAGCAACATGCTGTATTCTTAGTCTATTTTTTAAAGCTACAAATAGTGTTTTAATTTAAAAAAAATTAAAACTAGTTAATCACAGAAGTGTCGTGGCTTATATTCAAGTCACTGTCTATATGAATTGCATTTCTTATTTTAGGATAAATTAGCGTCACATCACTGGCCCAGGTATGTTCTTTGCATTTTTTGCATTTGCAATATGAATTTAATGACAAAATAACATATTATAAATACAATACAATATAATGAATACAATAATAAATACAATATTATGAATACAAGTTAAGATAATAAAAATAAAGAATGACAAAAAATATCTTGAATAACTTAAGATATTTCAAAATGGTGCTTGTTTAGAATGCTCACCAATTGCATTCCTTAAAGGGATAGTTCACCTTCATTTTATGGTCCCCATTGACATCCGTGGAGGGGGGGGTGGGGGGGGGGGCAACATGATACTGGTTTGTTCATGATATGGATGATGATTTTATGTATGAATTTTGCCATTGATTCTCAAATGCTTATATGCAGTTAATGTGATTAATTTAACTCCTCAACACAAATTGTATCCATTGTAGTGTTTTATCGACTAACTTTAACAAATGACACTCTGAAACTAATTCTGGCTTTTGCTTAATCTGAATTTCATTAAACATGTCAAACAGACATTGCGTGAATCAGAGGTTAAAAAAGCGATATAAATACAGTTCAGTTTCTTGCACAGACCGATCGTTTCGTGTCGTCACGAGCCGCAGGGTTCAATTTGGTTTTGTTTGTGTGTTTTTTTGACTCTCAAAGCCGTGATTCCCATTCACTTACACTATAAGACTGACAGACTGCAACGATTTGAGTTAAAAATCTTCGTTTGTGTTCTACTGAAGAAACAAAGTCACCTACATCTTGGATGCCCTGGGGGTAAGCAGATTAACATCGCATTTTCATTTTTGGGTGAACTATCCCTTTAAGTCTACTAGTATCTAGTTTTAGATGTATTATATGTCAGTTTTCATCTTAATGTTCCTCATCAGTCATTAAAGAGACTGAAGGAAAACACCAACCTGTCTGTTCCTCTGGATCTTCATCTCTCATTCTGCAGGACTCTTCCTCAAACTCCATCTTTTCAACAGTATGTCAGCTGTTCCTCCTGGAGTAATTCCTCCTGCTTGCTGCTTCTTCAGCTGTGGGAAGATGAGAATATTCTCCAGCATTTACACTCTCGTGAACGGCTGTGGAGCGGCTTCACTGAAGGTGTCAGTGGAGCTCATTTAGCAAACGCTCATCACACTTACAATAGCTCTCAATCGTGTTTCGCTTAAATAGTCATTTAGAAACAATTCTATGAAACAATGACAAACATCAAATGAGTGTTGTGTTCATCTACTGTAAATAACTGTTATTTCTTTATGATATTTCAGTCTTTATCTTCTCAAATGTGGTGCTGTCAGAAATGAGCTCCAGATTTCCAACATTGTTCAAACATATTTCAATTCCCACAGCAGTTCAGAGTCTCAATCTTGGTTCATTTCAAGCCAGCATGACGAAAGTACTAATTTCACGCACTCACTATCAGAGTCAGAGATGTTTTAGATTCTGTAAATGGAGTCATTCGCTAGGAAATCAGACACTGGACGAGCTTAATGCCAAGTTCTGATATTCCGATTTCTCACAATAATGAATTGAATGCACTCACAGTCTGATAAACACAGCAGATTCAGAGCCTCCACGTGTTTGACTCAAACGGCGCCACCAAGAGTTACTAAACTTCATAAAATTGACTTAACTTCATAAAGTCATGCAGGTTACTTTGATCAAAACAAATAAATCTTTTGAATCTTGTCAGATGCAGCATCTTATAATAGAAAGGGAATGGTGTGCATTTTGTAACTCAATTATACAAGAAATATAAAATGGCACAATTACTAGAATTAAAATGTAGCAAATCATTATTTTGCATTTATCATCCTCACATTCTGCATCTTAATCTTTTTAAGTTCTGATGCACAGACTCTGCTTCAAAATAAGAAACGTACTCAAGGCAATAAAAATAACTTTTTTTCTCCTTAATCAATGGCAAAAGTTATGTAAGAAAAAAAAGATAAAATAAGTTGTAAACATTTCATCTCTCTTGTGTTTGGAGGACACTGGCTTTAATAAATGTAGGCGTGCAGTTAAAAGCTTAAATTATTTTCATGTTAGTTCATAGCCACTAGATTGCAGCTGCAAAACAGTTTTTTTTTCATATCCAGTTTGAGCTTCTCAGAGGTGTGTGTTATTTTGGTAGGAAATATAAATTGAAAAACATCTGCTCCACTTTTTAGTTAAAAGACGACAAGGTTCCCACAAGTACAAGGTTTTGTTCACTTTTTATTGCTGTAGCATAAATTATACATACGATATAATGTATATGACCATAGATTCATCAAATGAGATCAGTAATAATAATAAAAGTGCATCACACCACCTCTTAACCTAACCAACAACAATTTGCTCAGCATATGGATGTAGAAGTAATGGACTAATCGAGATCATTCGATTAGTCCCGAACATAAAACATCCCAACTAAAACTCTGGCATTTTAAGGCAACTTCCATTGTTGAGCAAACAATATTCAACAATCTTCTGCAAATTTGGCCCAATAAGTTACATTGCTTGCTCTATCAGAATATCAAACTATTGGCTTGTAAGTCATGTAGACCTCTTTAGGCAACACCTTTTCTTATGTTTCAGTAAATTTGGTAAATTGGTGAAACCCCTCTTGCATGAAGAGCACCGGTACGGCCTTTCTCCAGTATGAACTCTCTCGTGCGTTTTCAGAGATGATAAATGAGCGAAACTCTTGTCACAGTGTGAGCACTTGTACGGTTTCTCTCCAGTGTGAATCCTCTGGTGTATTTTTAAGTCGCTGGATGTAGTAAAGGTCTTCCCGCAGTCAAAGCACATATGAGGTTTCACTCCAGTATGAATACTCTGGTGAACTTGTAGAGTTTGCATCAGTGCAAAACTCTTTCCACAAGAAGTACAAACATGAGGTTTCACAGCAGCATGAACTTTCATGTGTCTCTTTAGGTACACCTCCAAAACGAATGTCTTATCGCACTGATCACAGCCAAACGATCGTTCTCCGGAGTGAGAGAGCAGATGATTTTTGAGAATATTTGCTCTCACGAAGCTCTTTCCACACTGATGGCACGTGAAGGGTTTCTCTCCGGTATGGATGCTCATGTGTTTCTTCAGGTCTGATTTTCGCATGGAGCCCTTTCCACACAGAGAGCAAGTGAAGGGACGTTTCTCTCCTCTTTTTTGAGTGCTTTGTTGTTTGTGGAGATGAGGAGGTTTCTCCTCAGCTTCACATTGTTCTAAAATAAACACATTAGACACTTAACAGCAGAAAGCAATCATCCTCAAGTATTTAATTTCTGGTTAGGCTACCTATCAGGTGTTAAACATAACTTAAGTCCTTATAAATCAACTAAGTAGGCAACTATGATCACAGATGCATTTCTATGATTTTGCACTTATATAAAGGTGTGATCTTAGCGGTTATTAATGAGAAATCAAAAATGGTCACCTACCACTTTGTTCCTCAGTGTCGTCATTTTGTATTTTGCAGGGCTCTGGATCAGCCATCTTCAGTTGTAGGTCGTGTTGTTTCCCCTGAAGTAGTTTTTTCTTGTTGGGTGTGGGAGGAGTGGGAATTTTCTACAGCATTTTAAATGGTGAGTATGTGTAGGCAGGGCTTCACTGAAGGTGTTAATGAAGATTGATGTGTAATTTAACTAGATGAGCCAACCTAACCCTAACCCTATCACTAAACATTACTCCACCTATTAGGTCCACAGAGGTGGAGCTAGACTAAGTCAAGCTCCACCTATTACTCCCAGAGAGAGAGAGAGAGGGGGTGCTGCATGTCATTTGGCTCTGCAGTGAGCACTACAATGCTGTTGAAATGAAAACAAACTATAGTCAACTATATGAACATAGATGTACTGGTGTTAGATATTCAATATGAAGCAGAAACTCTTCTCACACTCAAAGCACAGATGAGCTCTCACAGCGGCGTGCATCTTCTGGTGCTCCTTTAAATGGAAAAACCTCTTTCCACAGAACGAACACAAGCAGGGCTTCCTATCAGAATGGATTTTTGAGACTTTTGAGGACGTATGAGCTCGGGAAGCTCTTTCCACACTGAGGACATGCATACGGACACTCTCCGTATGTTTTAACCTGAAACCTATCTATCTATCTATCTATCTATCTATCTATCTATCTATCTATCTATCTATGTCTTGATTAACATTTTCTAGTTTTTGTTATATTTTTATGTGTTAAGCATTATTATTATTATTATTATTATTATTATTTAGATGTATTATGTCAGTTTATTTTAATTTTTTTAGCTCTTGCCTTATATTATTGGTTATTTAACAGCTCTTCTAATGTTTCAGACCTGAATGTTCATCAGTCTTCAGTAAGGAATCGAGACAGACACACACCTGGATCACCTTCACTCCTTCACTCCTTCACTTCTTTCCATTTACAGCTGCTGTTCAGCATTACTCTTCTTCTGCTCTGATTTCTAATGTAATGATGGTGTATTTCTGCCATCTAATGGGCTGAAATGTGAAGTGGCCTTTCATTTGTATTTCATGGCAGTAACTGCAATTATTATTTTATTAACATTACTGGCACCTCATTTTTATCGCAGCTCCCCTCTTTCATACCATTTTTAGAATGTGTATTGATGATATGACAATATTACATTTAAGTCACTTTTTATTTTAGAATGTAATAGATAACATCATTGAGCCATACATGTTTAAAATAAATGTGTTTATACAAATATATCTCGCACAGCTTTCGATTGTGGACATTACACCTGTATGGATGCGTTACAGTACACCTATGGAAGCATATACACCTGTAGTGAACATGAAAAATTCGCATCTTTATCTGATGCAGGTGCCCCTTTTAACCACGAGAGGGCGGCAGCGGATCGAGGTTATTTATCATTTATTTTTTCATGACAGCAACATGCTGTATTCTTAGTCTATTTTTTAAAGCTACAAATAGTGTTTTAATTTAAAAAAAATTAAAACTAGTTAATCACAGAAGTGTCGTGGCTTATATTCAAGTCACTGTCTATATGAATTGCATTTCTTATTTTAGGATAAATTAGCGTCACATCACTGGCCCAGGTATGTTCTTTGCATTTTTTGCATTTGCAATATGAATTTAATGACAAAATAACATATTATAAATACAATACAATATAATGAATACAATAATAAATACAATATTATGAATACAAGTTAAGATAATAAAAATAAAGAATGACAAAAAATATCTTGAATAACTTAAGATATTTCAAAATGGTGCTTGTTTAGAATGCTCACCAATTGCATTCCTTAAAGGGATAGTTCACCTTCATTTTATGGTCCCCATTGACATCCGTGGAGGGGGGGGTGGGGGGGGGGGCATCCATCGCTGGGGGGACCATCCATCGCTGGTCTGCTATAGGGCCGATGTAGCCAAGCCGTTATAATTAGACAACTGATTGCCTCGATTTCGCCAGGTGGGCTAAAAGCAGACTACACGTAGCCCGTCCAATTCAGAGCTAAATCGTGGCAACAGACCATTTCAATGAAATGACTCTTACATCTTGTAAATATTATTGGCATTGCGAACATGATGGGGTATCAAATGACCTTCTCATGCACTGCCTGGCCAAAAACTACAATGAATCAGTTTTGGCTATAAGTGGCTAGCCGGTCTGACTACGAGCTAAATAGTGGCTACGTATAGAACATGTTAAAGAAATGAAACCAAACACCTTGTAATCACTGTTGACTTTGCTTACATGACGGAATATCATACATCTCGCAAGTTATTCTGGCAAAACCGACATGAAAAACCGACATTGACTAGAAGTGGGTTACTCATAGTCGGACTATATCGGGTCTATAGTTAACCCCCAACCCCACATGTTTATCATTATCATCATCATCATCAACAACAATAATAATAATATGCATTTAGTGAACTTTTGATAATTTTGCATGTCATCTTTTTCCTCTTTGCAACACTTGAATCGACATGCAAAACAAAACTTTGCACCTTGGGACCCACAATAACTGAACAGAACAAGGAAACAGAAGAGAACATTAGAACACTGAATAGAAATACAGAACAATAAATAGAATGAAGTGTTTCCCAAAATATATTTGCAAACTGTCTCAAAGGTCACCAGGAAGTAAAAGACAAATAGTAGGGAGACGCAGATACAAGGAACCAGGAAGCAGTTTGCCGGGCTATTATGAAAACTTTTATAAAGCTGTTGTTGTTGCATGCTGTGTTTGCGTTCAGTTTCCTTGTTCCTTATTTATTAATCCAGAGGCTCAGGCTCTTCAGCAACTGTTTTATTCTTAAGGTCATATTTGACTGTAGTTATATGAGAAGGGTTGGACCTCCTTCTCATAAACAGGACATTAATCTTCCTCATAAAGACAATGTGTTTGAGATTCTTTTAGTGAAAGTGAGCTCTGCTGGGAAACATTTACTCTCATCACCAAAGTATGACTAGTGTTTGTATGCATCCCCATATTCTTAGTGAGCTAATATACTTTATATATGCATACACACACACACACACTGTGTGTGTGTGTGCATATATATATTAGCTCACTTCCCACAACTGAAACTATACCTAAAGAGGAAAGATCAAATATTATTTTTCAATCCAAGAAGTGGCTTAAGAACAAGTCCATCAGGCTCATGTTTTGGCCTGGTCAGAGTCCAGATTTGAACCCTATCTGGTCTCAAGTTAACTCCAACTAACTGGGAGACATTCAACTACTCATGAGCTGTGTATATATGCATACACACACACACACTGTGAGTCCAGATTTGAACCCTATCTGGTCTCAAGTTAACTCCAACTAACTGGGAGACATTCAACTACTCATGAGCTGTGTGAAGCCGTCAATATGCCATCAGGACTTCTCTTTCATGGACAAAAACCACACACAGTTTTGCCAAAATGCCTGTTTTTGGCGAGTGACCTCGCAGACACTCCTAAATGCCCTTAAAGAGTTTGGGGGAAATCGAATGCGTGTCAGATCCACATCATGTGCATCAGGTTTTAAAGAGACAGTGCTGGTTTTATAGTGAAACCCGCTGCAGTCTGTCATTGCTGTAAATCAAAGAACTAAAGAAAAAGAGAAATCACTCACTGCTCTGCTCGCTCATTAACTTTGTTCCTTGAATACATGTTTAGTTTATAGTTTGTGCATGTACAATTTATAGTTTATGTAAAGATTGTTTTAAGTTCACTTAAAAGTTATATTTTCCAAATGTTGAATGTTTATAATTAGTGGCTATGGGGAAATGCATTTAACCAGTAGCAGTATTTGTATCAATGACACTAAAGCCTTCATTAATAATATGCTACTTTGTAAAAAGATGCCATTAAACACATATTAAAATATATAAACTTTATGTTGTTTCTGCATTAATTTGATGAAATTATGATAGCATTAATATATTGTTAATATATAGAAAATAGTTTAGTGTAGAAAGTTCCTAAAATGTCATTTCCACCACAGAATAATGATGAAAATGTTGATGACTTTCAGAAAAAAAGTGCAAAAATGATTTTTTATGTGATGCACGTCTGTCCACTGTTGGCTTGTTAACAAATTTAACCAATGCAAACTAATGAAAAGTGTTTTAAACCTTTATTTCTAAAAGCCCAAAAGTGCCCATATTTGAAGAAACAATTATAAATGTGTGTTTTTATTCCTCCTGCTAAAAGTGCCTGTGTTTCATCATGTCCAGAGGTTAAGAGAGGTCAGAAATGAGTCGGCTGGAAAGCACCGATGAGTCCCATCTGACCATAAACAGGCCTGAGGTTACATGTGTTGTCCACTATACACTTTTTTAACATGCAAACCCGGACGTTAACCAACACAATCAGCTTGTTGAATCTGATGCATTGTTTCAAATGGGGAATTCAATGTCATTCCAGATTTAAGAATTCATGGACAACACTGCGTTACAAAATAATTAACTAAAACAGGCAAGGAGGAACGAACTTCAAGCTAAATCTTATTATAGTGACACATTGGTGGTAAAAACCACATCTAAATTAAAGTGTAGATGTGAAGAGACGAGAAAGGAGGAAATATAGCACATTCTTATCTGCAAATATATCAACAACACTTAATCATTTTACTCAGTAACATTGAATATGAAAGTGAAAGCTCATCTATTAAAGAAATAGTTAACCTGAAAATAAAATTGGCTGAACATGTCCTCACCCTCAGGCTATCCAAGATGTAGATGAGTTTGTTTCTTCATCAGGTTTGGAGAAATGTAGCTCTGCATCAGTGTCTCAGCAATGGATCCTCTGCGGTGAATGGGTGCCGTCAGAATGAGAGTCCAAACAGCTGATAAAAACATCACAATAATCCACACCACTCCAGTCCATCAGTTAACATCTTCTGAAGCCAAAAGCTGTGTGTTTGTATGAAACAAATTAATCATTAATAGTTTTTAACTTGCTTTGTTGTTGTTTCTGGCCAAAAGTCCTCTCTCCATAATATTGATTTTAAGTCGTCTCATCTGAATCAGGAGAGAAATCTGCACAGATCAAGCTCTGTTTACAAGCTAAAACAGCTCTAAAAAATATGTGGGTGGATTTTGATGTGAGAGACAACAGGAGATGGATTTTCACTGGAGGAAGCGTTAATATGGACTCGTATTTTAGCAGGAAGAAATGGTTTGAAGTTAAAGCGTCTTAATTATGGATTTGTTCCTTACAAACATGTAGCGTTTGGCTGCATAGGACATTAATTGATGGACTGGAGTGGTGTGGATTACTTGTGGATGTTTTTATCAGCTGTTTGGACTCTCATTCTGACGGCACCCATTCACTGCAGAGAGCATCCATTGCTGAGCAAGTGATGCAATGCTACATTTCTTCAAACCTGACAAACCCTTCTACATCTTGGATAGCCTGAGGGTGATTTTTCATGCAACTGACAGTTGCATTTAGACAAATTTACGGCTGAAAATTTTATTCAGTTTACAAAATAATACCGGGAGTTTGGGGGTTTTATCCCTCCCAAACCTCTGCAGCATGTATGTGGTTTTAGTACCATAGATTAAATAAGAAAGAACAACAAAAGCTCCATTTGTTCCTTTTTTTGTTGGTTGAATTAGGAATTAGGAAATATCAGTGGTTCGGAGACACGGGGAATCCCTCCATGCCCACACACTTCTGTCCTGATAAACCAAGTCTGGTTGCATTGCACTGTTTGTTGAGTAACCTGAAATGTGCTTCAAGTGCTAACGTCTAAAAGTTTTATTAGAGTCCAAATTAAATTTTATGACTAAATAAATCTAATTACCTTGAACAATCAGCTCATAAAGAGCAAACGAATCCTTTATCTGGATGTGGTACTATTACAGGAATACAAAAAAACTAAAATGTCATAATACATATACAGATGACTTTTATTGGTGCAAAACTGGGTTGCACACACACAAAGTCATTTTTTAGAGTCAGATCAGTCAGAAATTACACTTTAACCCTCTGATGCTGGTGTTGTCTATGGTGAACACACTTAAAAAATATATTTTAATTATTGTGGATGTGAAGTAACATGCAAAACATCATGGCCAAAGACCTTTGACCCTTTATTAAACCCCTTGATTAACCTTTGTGTTTTTTTTATTTATTATCTGCTATTTCAGTGTATAGAGAAACTCATCATTTAGAAAAAAAGAATTATATTCATGCAAGACGTATAACTTTGCTGTTTAACATTACATGCATCAAAGTGGAGGGCTGCATTGGGATTGGGATCCCGCGGGACCCAATGCAAATCTGGCGGGAGTGGGTGGTTTTACCTTTACTGTGGGTGGTCAAAAAACGTAGCGCAGGTCTCACTATCCCGCAATTTAGTGCGTTACACAGTTACACTAAACTAAACTCATCTGCTCTGCTCCATACAGCCAGGGTTGCCAGGTCTGCGTGACAAAACTAGCAGAAAACATGCAAATCTGACCCGTGTTATTCCTGAAACCATATGCATTGACCGATAAGGAGTTCACATGATTCTGTAAATAAAACGTTTTACAAGAAAATGCTATTTCAAAATTTCACATTTAAGTCAATGTGTTGCTAGCAGTTTCTTTGTAGCTATTACTAGTGATTTCTGAGTGCAAATTGTTTCAACACTTTTTGCAGAAATAAGGTTTAAGAACTGTGATTTCATTTCTCTTTTTCTGTACTTGGTCCTTGAAAAATACTGAATTCAAGTATTGTGAAATGGTTCGATCTCCTGTCAGATGAGTCCGGTTTACCAAAAGTCAGAACATAAAAAATTCCCAAGAAACAAAAGGCAGATCCATCTTCTGGAACTGCTGAACATTGCTGTAACATGAAATTGCATAGTCTGTGCAAATATGAAATTTATCCGATTTCATGATCCAGACTCTTCCGGTTTCTGAATAAGTTGGAATACTGTCCTGGTGTTTTTCTCCAGGGCTGGACATTTTCCTGGATGTGATGTCACTAACACCCTGCATGTCTGCCGCTCTGTTAGAAACCATTCGAGTGTTTCATCTAGGTCCTTGTTTCCCTCTTGATATCCATCCAGGATGAGCAAACAGTCCGTCGGGCCCAGAAGCGTCTCTCTGAACTCAGACACGTCTAGTGGTTTTTCATGAGAAATGCTGGACTTTACCACCTGGAAAAAGTCTCCTTTCGCTCGGCTACAGTCCACCTGGAAAACCAGATGGAGCCGGCGGATGTTGAAGGGGTCTGTCGTGGTCCTCTCAGCCCAGCAGGACGACAGGATTTGGGCCACGCTGGTTTTCCCGCTGCCTGGTTCTCCAAACAGAAGGATGGTTTCTTTCTTATCAGGCAGAATGGAGCTGATGTTTAGAGATTGGCCTTCTCTGGAATCAAGAGGGGAAAATGACGTGGTTTAACACGCAAATCAATGAGTAATGTGTGTTTATTGTGGTTTGGTAACCTCTCAATTAGCCAGAGCTGTGTTTATCAGCAGTTCACTGGAAACGGTTATACCTTACTCACTTTCATATATATATATATATATATATATAGATAGAGCACATGAATTTAAAAATAATACATTAAGTTTAAATTAGATTTAAATACATTTAAAAGTAAAAACAAATGAATAAATTAATTCACATTTAAATATATTTACAATTGAAATTCAAAAATGTAAAATACTTAAAAACAAATGAATAAAATAAAATGTATTTAAAGAAATAAAATAAAATACAAAATAAAAATATTTTTAAATAAATAGATAAAACAAACAAACAATTAATTAAATACAAACTAATTTAAATACTAAATTGTTAAATACTTATAAAACAATACAATAAAGAAGTAAAGCAATAAAGAAAAATAAAATGTTTGAAATATGCGAGTTTGGGATCCATTTAAAAGTTCAGAATTATAATTATGCAATTTCTTAATGGACATCTCAGAGATTAAATATTAAACGTTTTATTTTACTTAGTATTTGGTCTTATTTTTCTATTAGATTTCCATTAAATGTCTATAAATTAATAAATAAATGAATAAATATCTTAAATCAATATACATTTACTTGAGAAGGTAGTCTTGTTTTCTGAAAAGGTGTAAAAATACTCGTTTTCCCTTTGAACTGTATTCTTCTTTCCAAACCAATGTTTTTCTTGTTTTAAGCAAACTTAATTTTGATAATTTTCCAAAAAGACTCAATATCTTAAACCAAGTAAATGTGTCTTGTTTTAATAATGTTTATATATTTGTACTGGAAAACAACAAAAATACTGAGGAAGAAAATAATTTTTTTGCAATGTAAGCTCATAAATCAGAGTGTGTGTGTGTGTGCATTGTTCTTACAGACAGTAATCACTCTGTTTATTTAAAGAAGTTCCCTGTCATGTGTTAGTGTGTGTGATTCAACACATGAGTGACTCTTAGCATGCTTAAAGGGATAGTTCACCCAAAAATGAAAATGTGATGTTTATCTGCTTACCCCCAGGGCATCCAAGATGTAGGTGACTTTGTTTCTTCAGTAGAACACAAATGATGATTTTTAACTTTAACCGTTGCAGTCTATCAGTCGTATAATGCATGGCAATGGTAACAACATCTATGTAAAAAAAACACACACAGACAAATCCAAATTAAACCCTGCGGCTCGTGACGACACATTGATGTCCTAAGACACGAAACGATCGGTTTGTGCCAGAAACCGAACAGTATTTATATAATTATTTTTTACCTCTAATACACCACTATGTCCAACTGTCTTTGGGTGCGAGCATGGCATCCGGTGCGTGAGGTGTGTACACGCTCTGGCGTAGTTTACGCAAGCGCCGGAAGTGATCTCTCACGCGTATACGTCACTCATTGGTTACACAGTGCACAGTTATTGTAGGTACGACAGCTAATCAAAATAGTACTTACTTGCGCTTATCCGGATTGTTCAAACCGACTCGCGTGAACTCATTCGCGAGTGGTGACTTTCCACGTATTCCCAACTTCTGAGCCTGCTCGCCTGAAGTTATGGTTGATTGCTCTTCGGCTGGATATCAACACACCCATTAACGTAAACTACGCCAGAGCGCGTACACACCTCACGCACTGGATGCCGTGTGCATGCTCAAAGACAGTTAGACATAGTGGTGTATTAGAGGTAAAATATGATATAAATACTGTTCGGTTTCTCGCACAAACCGATCGTTTCGTGTCTTAGGACATCAATGTGTCATCACGAGCCGCAGGGTTTAATTTGGATTTGTCTGTGCATGTTTTTTTTTACTCTCATAGATTTTGTTACCATTGCCATGCATTATACGACTGACAGACTGCAACGGCTGGAGTTAAAAATCATCAAATGTGTTCTACTGAAGAAATAAAGTCACCTACATCTTGGATGCCCTGGGGGTAAGCAGATAAACATCACATTTTTATTTTTGGGTGAACTATCCCTTTAAGTGTTTGTGTCACATTCATAATTCCCTCATATCAATCGGTTGCTTACTTGCTGAGAAGTGCATATGAAACAAATCTGCTTTTCATCTCAGTGTTTGTGCAGAGCTGTGAATACTGTCGTATAAGCACGTTCCTCAGGGATAGAGGTTTTTCTGTAGCTTCTGCACAAATGAAAGACACACAAGAGTCACAAGAGCAACAATATGCAGAACATTTTCCATTTGACTAATGCCCACATCAACTAAATTCATAACAGGCTTCAGTGATTCACAATCACATGAAACCTCCAGGTGCTTCACAGCGTGCTATAGACACTAGACAGATTACAGTACAGGTGCAGTCTGGGCCTCAAGGGTCATATTTCCAGTTTCTACTGTACTGAACGTCAGCAGGTTAAACATTAACTTGCCATCATAATTATATCAGAACATGCTTTACCTTCTGAGTTCAAGTCACATGTTTGCGGCTTGTTCTCGTTCACCGTCAATAAAGCTGTCAATGAAAGAGAAGTATGATCAATAAAATGAAATGGATATAGAGTTTATTGTGTTGAGGTCAAGGTTATCATTAACTAAAACTAAAACAACAACAAAAAAAAGAATGTTTTAGTTACTTGGAATAAAATAAACATTAACTGAAATAAAACAATATATATAAAAACTTAAACTTATTTATTTTCAGGTAGTTGCTAAAGCAATATTTCTCATTTTTTATTTAGTTTTACTTGATGTACTAAAATAACTAAAACTGAAATAAAAACTATAGAGACGAATTATTGAATGAATGAATGATTAAAATAAAAACAGGAAAAATAAAAATACAAAATTAATTCAAAATATTTATAAAACTGTAATAGCATCTCAGTGATACTAAAATAACACTGGTTGAGGTAAAAATAAAAATAGTAAAATAAAAATATTGCAGGTTTAAACCATACAGCAATAAATAAATAAATGTATTCAAATAATAAATAAAAACACACAACATGCTAAATAAGTGTTAACAGTTTGAATAAAATATTTATAAAAATTAATGAGTAAATAAGTCTCTAAACCGTCTCAATAATATATTTATGTGAAGATAATATATTAAAGTCAAGTTGACATATTATTTTAAGGCATGTTTTCGATATATATTTCAAAATGAAATTATATATACACACACACACACACACACACACACACACACATTTCTAAAATAATATATGATATAAAATGCAAGTTAATCTCTCAGCAGCATGTACTGTATGCGTGTATTGTATTGTATGCTCTCAACAGGAAATACAGTATATTGTTTTTACGGTGCCTTTACAGCCACTTTATATTGACGTTCATTTCATAAAAAGCCCATTCATGTTCTGGAAATGATGTAAATGTACTTGAAAAACTCACAATCAGTGATGGCAGAGGATGCATGTGGGAAGAGGAAAGCACATTTAGATTCACTTCGTCGGTTTTTCTGACCTGGAAATAGATAGAGGTGATAGAGATAGAGGTCACGTTTTATCATTATTTATTGGAATTCACCCATGGTTGCACACAAAAAGAGGATATGAAACAGCTTTTTTTGCATTGTAATGATTTTATAATCTGATCATCAGCGGTTGACAGACACTAAAAGCTTCTTCTAAGCATTCAGCTCATAATCAGGCAATGGCCAATGTTTTTGTCACTGTCAGGGTTATATCTGTAAAACATGCGTTGTCAGGAAACCTTCTTATTAAAGGTCAGATCATGTATAAAGCTTACTGTAGCAACAGCACATGTTCAGTGCACATGATGCCACACTGTAAAAAAAAACGGTGACATTTACGGTAAAATACCGGCAGCTGTGGTTGCCAGAACTTCACCGTAAAAAATATGGTAGCAACATTTGAGGTTTTACAGACTTAACTTAAATTCACAATAAAATACCGTATTTCATTAACTGATGTAATGTTAATAAACCAACATATTGAAGTACTAATAAATATTTATAAAACTGTAATAGCATCTCAGTGATACTAAAATAACACTGGTTGAGGTAAAAATAAAAATAGTAAAATAAAAATATTGCAGGTTTAAACCATACAGCAATAAATAAATAAATGTATTCAAATAATAAATAAAAATACACAACATGCTAAATAAGTGTTAACAGTTTGAATAAAATATTTATAAAAATTAATGAGTAAATAAGTCTCTAAACCGTCTCAATAATATATTTATGTGAAGATAATATATTAAAGTCAAGTTGACATATTATTTTAAGGCATGTTTTCGATATATATTTCAAAATGAAATTATATATACACACACACACACACACATTTCTAAAATAATATATGATATAAAATGCAAGTTAATCTCTCAGCAGCATGTACTGAATTGTATTGTATGCTCTCAACAGGAAATACAGTATATTGTTTTTACGGTGCCTTTACAGCCACTTTATATTGACGTTCATTTCATAAAAAGCCCATTCATGTTCTGGAAATGATGTAAATGTACTTGAAAAACTCACAATCAGTGATGGCAGAGGATGCATGTGGGAAGAGGAAAGCACATTTAGATTCACTTCGTCGGTTTTTCTGACCTGGAAATAGATAGAGGTGATAGAGATAGAGGTCACGTTTTATCATTATTTATTGGAATTCACCCATGGTTGCACACAAAAAGAGGATATGAAACAGCTTTTTTTGCATTGTAATGATTTTATAATCTGATCATCAGTGGTTGACAAACACTAAAAGCTTCTTCTAAGCATTCAGCTCATAATCAGGCAATGGCCAATGTTTTTGTCACTGTCAGGGTTATATCTGTAAAACATGCGTTGTCAGGAAACCTTCTTATTAAAGGTCAGATCATGTATAAAGCTTACTGTAGCAACAGCACATGTTCAGTGCACATGATGCCACACTGTAAAAAAAAACGGTGACATTTACGGTAAAATACCGGCAGCTGTGGTTGCCAGAACTTCACCGTAAAAAATATGGTAGCAACATTTGAGGTTTTACAGACTTAACTTAAATTCACAATAAAATACCGTATTTCATTAACTGATGTAATGTTAATAAACCAACATATTGAAGAACTTCATTTGAACAACTTTAAAGATGATTTTCCTCAATATTTAGATTTTTTTGCACCCTCAGATTCCAGATTTGTCCAAATATTGTCCTATCCTAACAAACTATACATCAATGGAAAGCATATTTATTCAGCTTTCAGATGATGTATAAATCTCAATTTCAAAAAATTGACCCTTGATGACTGGTTTTGTGGTCCTGGGTCACATATGGTTTTAAAATAGTGCTATGCTACATTGTTATCAAATGATCACATACCCTACAGGTACACACACTATGTACGGCAGAAACAGTAAGTGTAGTATGTTAGTGTGTTTTATAATCATAGCCCAAAATCCTGTCTGATAATATGATGGATGACAACAGTGACTATATTAGGTCTGGTCAGTAACCGGGTTATATCAGGGTAATTCACTGGGTCATTCCGGTTTCTGCATGTACTAGTTTCACAATGCCACAGAGACAGAAGCTCAGATCTGTGCATGTGCAAGATAACTAATTGCTTTTAATGAATTTTTAAGCTCAAACCTTTTCAAAAGTGCCTAGTCACACACAGCATGCAAATGACTAATGAGGTTTTCACCTGTGTCAGCTGACAACACCTAGTTTCTATTTCCTGAATAAACTGGGGATTCCTTCTTTACAAGCTGCTTAATATCATATGATGTTGACTCACAAGACTACTCTCGAAAACAACCAATAAATCAATTAAGCAAATCTACACTGGTCACAACTAAAACCAGTTCAACATATAAGACGCAATATGAACGGACACATTTTAATGAGCCGTAACGAACAGTAAAAAAGTGACAGAATCACCTGTAGTGTTACAGATGAAATGTAAATGCTGCATGCTACTCCAAGGTACTTCAAATAATATAATGATCCAAAAATCACGGTATTACTATGGAATGTGTCATAACAGCACTTTTTAAATAAAGGTAAATAAGTGTGCAATGTAAATGTCAAAGTACCGTTTTTTCTCATACGCAGGATGACGGAGATGAAGACAATGGCTAAAAGCACGACGACCACGGCGACAATCCACACGTACGGAGTAGAACAGTGAGGAGGGAATTCATCTGGAAAAAGAGAAATGTTGGCTTTAAATATCTGTCGCTTAAAATATTCACATAATGCATTTTCCTGCAGGACAGTAGTTGCACAAAAAAAAAAAAATTCTCTCTCTCTCTCTCTATATATATAACATAAATAACATTTTATTTTAATATTTTCTGTTGTGATAATTTTAAAGTTTAAAAGAGTTTGTCATTTTTATATATTTTTAGTTTTTTTTGTTTGATTTATTTTTAGTTTAGTTTATTTATTTTTAGTTATTTTTGTACTTCCACTTAAACTACATAGAAATGACAAATGCTGCCTTTGCAACTTGCTGAAGTTTTTACATTTTATTTCAGTTAACTTTTAGTAAGTAATTAAACATCGTTATGGTTTTAGTTTCAGTTAATAATGATAATCCTGCTTTGAATATGGCTAATCCAGTCAGATATGCTATGAAACAATTTAATTAAAGCTAATTGCATTCTTTAGAAACACTTATACACTCAATAAATGTGGGGTATTGTACAACTCTGTTACGTAACAGAAAAAAATGACCTTCTACTTGCTTTAGAGTGAAACATCATATGAATAAATCTGCATCGTTATGATCTTAATGTCTGCTGGAAAAAAACAGTAACAAAGGCACTCCTCCACATTTATCTGAAACCGATCTGTTTTTCTTTTGTGGACGTCTTTACCTGCGTATTTCATATCACACGCCCCCACATCCGGGGAAAACCATCAAGAAAAATTATGCTTTTTTTCAACCAAAATGTCATCAAAACATGATGGCATCAAAACGAAGGCATTGTTCAAATCTGTAGGCTGATACTCGTTCCTACAGAGATGAGCTGATCTTATTTCCCGAAAGCGCTACATACATTTCGAAAAAGATTTACCGCCCGAGTTTAAGACTAGTTGCATATAAAATGTCCATTCATTTGAATCACACATTTTGAGTGACATTTCATCATTTGCTCAGCAATGGATGCTCTGCAGTGAATGGGTGCCGTCAGAATGAGAGTCCAAACAGCTGATTAAAAACATCACAATAATTCACAAGTAATCCACAGCACTCCAGTCCAACAGTTAATGTCTTGTGAAGCCAAAAGCTGCTTCTAACTGTTGCTTCTGGCAAAAATATCCAGAAGTCCATAATCCATAATCCAATAATATAAATCCATAATATCGCTTCCTTCAGTGAAAAAGTGGTCTGGTCTGAATCAGGAGAGAAATCTGCACAGATCAAGCAGTGTATAAACAGTCCAAAACAGCTCTAAACAAATAGGTGGGTGGACTTTGATGCGAGAGACAACAGGAGATGGACTTTTTCACTAGAGGAAGCAATATTATGGATTATGGACTCATATTTTTGCCAGAAGCAACAGTTAGAAGCAGCTTTTGGCTTCACAAGACATTAACTGATGGACTGGAGTGCTGTGGATTACTGGTGGATTATTGTGATGTTTTTAATCAGCTGTTTGGACTCTCATTCTGACGGCACCCATTCACTGCAGAGCATCCATTGCTGAGCGAGTGATGCAACGCTACATTTCTCCAAACCCGTTTCAATACTAGGCTGATACTAGTTAATAAACCTTTCCTACATCAGACTCACCTGGGATGCTGAAGGTGGCCGTCTGCTGGATTTCACCCTTCACGAGGAAAGAGCAGGTGTAGTTGTTCACGAGGTCTCGTTTGACCGTCAGCTTGCTGATGACGTGGATGAGATCTTCGTCTGTAGATCGTGTGGTGCTGTTGGACATCTCTGTGAGGTTTGTGTTTTGACCATCGCGCCAGATAACCCGAGCGGACGGGAATCCCTGAGACTCACAGGACAGCTCGACCTCATCCTGACCCGTCTCCATGATGGCCTTCTTCATGGGAGTATAAAGAGCTGGAAACCACAAACATAATATATAGCTAAAGTTATAAGCATGACAATCTGGTTCGGGTTTTAGAAAATATGGATATATTTGGGAAAATGTTCTGCCATACTAGGACTATAATTTCCTATATACACTGAATAAACCCAAACCTTACCTGGATGATCTACTAGATTTGCCAAAATAAATAAAACAATGCAATATGCTCAAAAATGCAACTCAGAAAGCAAAGAGCGCAATTCACTGAAATACAGTACAATTAAATAAATACATTTCTTTAAATATATATATTAATATATACTATTATAAGCTGCATCCTAGCAATATAAACAGGAATTCCTGCTTAGGAATGTAACAATATTTATACAGCAGAAATATTGCCTTTTATTGATTTATTGTAATTTTAATGCACTGCAGCTATGCAATATGGGACTCTTTCTGCTGACACACTGGCTATATTCAGTATTGAATATTGAGCATCTAAAAATGTATAAACTCTCTCTCTCTATTTCTCTCCCTATATATATATATATATATAATAAGAAATAAGAAAGAGAACCATTGCAGCAGTTAATTAAGCCATGCAAACCAACTGCAAATCAACTAATATCTTACAAATATAGGCAGCTATCACCTTTATGAACTGGTTTGTCAAGCTGTGTGTTTTGTAAGTCAAACGCACCTGTAACACTGAGCGTGACTTGCTTGTAGTCTCCATCATCTCCCTCTTTCACGATACACCGGTATGTGCCTGAATCTTTAATCTGGAGCTTTTTCAAGTGCAGCACCGCTCGGTTTTCATTCAGCTGTTCGTGGATGAGCTGTGCGCGCTTTATGAACGCGGCACTGGTGTAAATGTGATTCTCTCTGCCTCTCTCCAGCCGATACACATCCACGGCCGGCTTCGGCTCGACTCGGCTCCATATGACAGTGAGGTCGGAAAGACTTTTAACCGTGGAGAACAAACACACTAGTCTGACGTCCTCATGTAGCTCTGCTTCATAACTGCTCTCCTGTAAACCGACTGTAAACAGGGCTGGAGGAAGACAGATGAGAATGATGAGACATCTTCATCATCATTTTAGAGATATACACAGTTCAATTCAAGAGATTTATGAGAAAACTTTAGCATTCTCACCCAAAAACTACAATCATCTCCTATGATCGCTTTGAAAAACACTTGACTTAAAATGTATCATTGCAACTATTATTTTACTAATAGAAAACCAAGTTTACAGTAACCTACAGTTAGTGTTTCCACAATTAAATTGATAGTAAAAATGACTTCTTGCAAAACTTCATATATTTACATTAATTACACTAATTGAATAATAATTTAGTGTGGGTTTTATGCTGAAAAAATCTGGTGTAAAATTTACTTTGAAAATTTTAACTCAGAAATGAATAGTAAATTTCACAAATAATTACAAAGAATTAAGTAATGAATTAAATGTTAAAACTGGAAGAAGAATGACTGACTAAAATAGCATTTTCTTGTAAAAACCTACTCCAATAATCTGTTTACAATTTCAAATAAATAAAATATATATAAAATTTTACTTTATTTTAATTCTTATTTTTTTTACAGTGTACTAAAACAAGGGACAAGAACATACATTTCCAATCTTGCATTTACCCAAAATGTATTTTCAAAAATATATTATAGACAATATAAATGTACATACACTGTAAAACAATTTTTTTAAATAAGTATATTTATTGAAAATACATTTATATAAAAATATTTAACATTGTTATATTATACTTAAGAATAACTTTTACAGTGTATTTTGGCTGAAAATGTAATTATCATAATATATTTTCTAAGAGTCACTGTATGAATTACTTATTCAAAACTGGAAGTGAAATGGAATTTTTTTATCACTCAAATGTTGCTCTTTCATAGCGGATGAGACTTAAGGAGTTCTCAGTTATGTTTTAAGTATCAAATTTGTCTCAAATGAGTAACAAGTCAACATCCAGTAAGAGTCTAAAGCTATTAAATTAATGTAGAGGGCAGTTCAGATCATTTGATGAGAAATGTTGGAGTTCATATTGAGATCTCCGGCAGATATGAGCACAGTTTGAGACAACACTGCTTCATTGAATCCAAATAATGTCTAGGATAAACCACTGATTAGCAGCTTCAAGATTAATCTTTTATCATCTAAAACAGACAGATAAGTGTAATGAATATCAGTCATACCTGATGCTGAGACAGGCCACAGCAGAGCCTGAAATATGATGACCAGCGTCCCCCTCATGACCCCTGATATATACTATTATAAGCTGCATCCTAGCAATATAAACAGGAATTCCTGCTTAGGAATGTAACAATATTCATACAGCAGAAATATAGCCTTTTATTGATTTATTGTAATTTTAATGCACTGCAGCTATGCAATATGGGACTCTTTCTGCTGACACACTGGCTATATTCAGTATTGAATATTGAGCATCTAAAAATGTATAAACTCTCTCTCTCTATTTCTCTCCCTATATATATATATATATATAATAAGAAATAAGAAAGAGAACCATTGCAGCAGTTAATTAAGCCATGCAAACCAACTGCAAATCAACTAATATCTTACAAATATAGGCAGCTATCACCTTTATGAACTGGTTTGTCAAGCTGTGTGTTTTGTAAGTCAAACGCACCTGTAACACTGAGCGTGACTTGCTTGTAGTCTCCATCATCTCCCTCTTTCACGATACACCGGTATGTGCCTGAATCTTTAATCTGGAGCTTTTTACTCTTTCTGCTGACACACTGGCTATATTCAGTATTGAATATTGAGCATCTAAAAATGTATAAACTCTCTCTCTCTATTTCTCTCCCTATATATATATATATATAAAATAAGAAATAAGAAAGAGAACCATTGCAGCAGTTAATTAAGCCATGCAAACCAACTGCATTTGCTCTTACAAATATAGGCAGCTATCACCTTTATGAACTGGTTTGTCAAGCTGTGTGTTTTGTAAGTCAAACGCACCTGTAACACTGAGCGTGACTTGCTTGTAGTCTCCATCATCTCCCTCTTTCACGATACACCGGTATGTGCCTGAATCTTTAATCTGGAGCTTTTTCAAGTGCAGCACCGCTCGGTTTTCATTCAGCTGTTCGTGGATGAGCTGTGCGCGCTTTATGAACGCGGCACTGGTGTAAATGTGATTCTCTCTGCCTCTCTCCAGCCGATACACATCCACGGCCGGCTTCGGCTCGACTCGGCTCCATATGACAGTGAGGTCGGAAAGACTTTTAACCGTGGAGAACAAACACACTAGTCTGACGTCCTCATGTAGCTCTGCTTCATAACTGCTCTCCTGTAAACCGACTGTAAACAGGGCTGGAGGAAGACAGATGAGAATGATGAGACATCTTCATCATCATTTTAGAGATATACACAGTTCAATTCAAGAGATTTATGAGAAAACTTTAGCATTCTCACCCAAAAACTACAATCATCTCCTATGATCGCTTTGAAAAACACTTGACTTAAAATGTATCATTGCAACTATTATTTTACTAATAGAAAACCAAGTTTACAGTAACCTACAGTTAGTGTTTCCACAATTAAATTGATAGTAAAAATGACTTCTTGCAAAACTTCATATATTTACATTAATTACACTAATTGAATAATAATTTAGTGTGGGTTTTATGCTGAAAAAATCTGGTGTAAAATTTACTTTGAAAATTTTAACTCAGAAATGAATAGTAAATTTCACAAATAATTACAAAGAATTAAGTAATGAATTAAATGTTAAAACTGGAAGAAGAATGACTGACTAAAATAGCATTTTCTTGTAAAAACCTACTCCAATAATCTGTTTACAATTTCAAATAAATAAAATATATATAAAATTTTACTTTATTTTAATTCTTATTTTTTTTACAGTGTACTAAAACAAGGGACAAGAACATACATTTCCAATCTTGCATTTACCCAAAATGTATTTTCAAAAATATATTATAGACAATATAAATGTACATACACTGTAAAACAATTTTTTTAAATAAGTATATTTATTGAAAATACATTTATATAAAAATATTTAACATTGTTATATTATACTTAAGAATAACTTTTACAGTGTATTTTGGCTGAAAATGTAATTATCATAATATATTTTCTAAGAGTCACTGTATGAATTACTTATTCAAAACTGGAAGTGAAATGGAATTTTTTTATCACTCAAATGTTGCTCTTTCATAGCGGATGAGACTTAAGGAGTTCTCAGTTATGTTTTAAGTATCAAATTTGTCTCAAATGAGTAACAAGTCAACATCCAGTAAGAGTCTAAAGCTATTAAATTAATGTAGAGGGCAGTTCAGATCATTTGATGAGAAATGTTGGAGTTCATATTGAGATCTCCGGCAGATATGAGCACAGTTTGAGACAACACTGCTTCATTGAATCCAAATAATGTCTAGGATAAACCACTGATTAGCAGCTTCAAGATTAATCTTTTATCATCTAAAACAGACAGATAAGTGTAATGAATATCAGTCATACCTGATGCTGAGACAGGCCACAGCAGAGCCTGAAATATGATGACCAGCGTCCCCCTCATGACCCCTGCACGTAAACACAACACATCAGTCTGATGTCACACACAAAACCCTCCTGATCTGAAGCCCAACTGAGCTGGTTATGAAGTGTTTGTGTGCGTTTCAGCTGATAGTTTGGTCACTGATGTCATGAACCACTGCAGTGCAGTACTTCTTGATTTACAAATGCCACCAGACCAACAAAGTCTACCTTAATAACGGTTACAAACATGAGTCAGATCTGGGGCATCGTTGTAGATGATTCATGAACTGATTCACACACGGGACAAAACCTAAAGAGCCCCAGGTAGGAAATCTCACAAAGGTAGAGAAATAAAGGAACTGGTCTTCCTCAGGAAGGTCCATCTCTTTCTATTCATTTCACGAATATTTCCCACTGAAATAATAACCAACAGCAATTTCCAAAGCAGAAATCATAACCATAAAGCTCTGACGTATGTGTTAGGTACAGGAAATGTTCATAATGTAAATCATAATGAGTGATATCACACACACACACACACATATATAAAATGTATAATTTGTAGTAAAAAAAAAAACAAAACAAAAAAAAAACTTCTCAACTTCATTTCATGAAGTTTTGCTGTTGTTCAGTTACTGTCAGTCAAAAGTTGGACCTTTAACAATTTATTTGTGTCTTGGTCCCTATCAACCTTACTTTTTTGATAACCCCTAATAGATGACCAGTGACTGAGCCACTACATTTTTGAGTAGTATGCAAAAGTACCTTCCGGACAGCATGTGTGGATCATAAATATACATTTATTTCTTCATCCAAGCAGTCATACTGAGACTGAGAGGGATGATAATATCATAAGCACTTTACTTAACTTTCAACACTGCAGGAGCAGGAAACGTTAAAGCTGATTTTCCCTGTTTTACTACAGTTCATGTCACAAGCCAAAATTTTGAAAATTGAGTTATTGAGAAAAAAAAAAAACACCCATATTTTCACCTAATCTCACTCATAGAAACATAACATGCGGTGACTAACCCTTGGGCAACCCGGGGTTAAGTGGTTGGCAAGCAAACCTCACTTACTCCTGTAAGTCCCCTTTCAACTTTTGGGTTTCAACCAACAACCTTTGGGATATCAGCCCTAATCTACCATAAATGTGCTATATCCAGTTAAGAACACACAGATGGGTTTTCTAAAGATTATCCATTTTAGCCTGAATAAGGAAATTCGTACTTTTCATTACCTTAAGGTACAAAAGTTAAAAGACATATGTTTGTACCTTATCACCCCTTAATATTAGTATCTTAAAAGGTACACAGCACTTTAAAAACTCACTAATACTCTGTATGTTACTGTACGCCTGTATATCTGAACAGCATTCTATTTAGAGTAACTGAAGATCCAAATAGTGAAATTTGAATAGAATGTGTCACTGTCCATTACAAAAAAAAAAAAAAAAAAAAAAAGGGGGACTGCAAAAAAAAAACAAAAAAAAAGCTTTTAACATGG